CAGTATGTGGTCCAGTGACTCCATGGGTCCTTAACCTGATTCTGTTGGTTCTTCACATGCCACACTTTGGACTGTTTCAAAATATCTTTCTGACCTTGCTTACTCACTTATAAGGTGGCCTTCCTTGTCGCCATTAGTTCTACTAGGTGTGTTTGAATGTGTGACCTTTTTCTAGTCATCCCCAAATATAAAGCTGTGTTGAGCCCGTTCTTCTTAAGATGTTCTCTGCCTTCCTCCTTAATTAGGACATTGTTTTACCTTCCTTTTATATCCAGCGCTGAAGCACCCTAAAATTCACTGTCTGGCTGTGGTTCAGGTGGCAAGTGTTTACCTCTTTGCAACTGATTCCATACCTTTTGATTCAAGTTCTACCAGGTGGACGTTCAGGCCTCTGCGGATGCCAGTTTTGGTCGTAAAGTCTTGCCATTGTTTGCTCTGTTGCCGCCCCTCAGTTGAACTGCTTTTGGACATCCCAGTGGTTAAAGAACTTAACTGCCTATATCCTGTGATGCTCGATCATCCATTTCTTGGATGTACATCACAGGACCCTCCCCTCTGTTTTCAATGATCCACTTTATACTGCTAGCTACAAAACTCAGGCATAGAACATGCAGAGGTTATGCAGGGCTGTCCTGCAGCTTTGTTTGATTTGCCGGTGACCAATCAGCTGAAGGTAGCTGCAGAACCCAGTGGCTAAAGAATTTAGCTCCCTGTGTCTTGTAATGTACTCCAAGAAACAGATTTTACAGCTTAAGCTAGCCATACACTGCTGTATTTTTTTGTTCAACCCGCGAGCTGAACGAAAAAAATAGAGGAGATTTCTCCATCAACGTTGCAAAATTATTACTTAAGATCATAGCTCATGCTCTGCATTTTCTGTATTGTCCACAAACTATTTTCTTATTTTACATAGGATTCTTTCCTCTTCTTACATATTGACACAAATACACTAAATACACATATAATATTGCATCTTGAGTTGTATATTTTCCCCTCTGGGCCTCAAAAGTAGAACTTTGCAATACAGTGCATGCCAATTCCCACATCTTAGCTGCTTATACAATATGGATCAGGAAGGAATTATTTTCCCCTGTCGGAGCAAATTGAACCATGCTTTATAGGCGTTTTTTTGTTTGCCTTCTTCAAGATCAACAGTGGGTAACTGTGGGCATGGCGTTGTTTTTTTGTTTTCTTCTCATCGATTTAGGTTGAACTCGATGGACTTGTGTCTTTTTTTACAACCTGACTAACTATGTAATATGGATAGGTTGCAAATGATTTCAGAATTAGTTCTGTTCTGTCAGACACCTGCTTTAGAGCTCCCTTTAGTATATTAGCTATGCTGTTAAAATAAATAAACTGTAAATTACGTTTTTTATGAAAATAATTGTCTTTCATATTTTTTATTTTTGGTAGATGAAATCAGGCCCAATCAAGACATCCACGTCTGCTGCCAGCCAAAAGAGTATTGTTTACTGCTATAACTGTGGCAGGAGAGGCCATTGTGGCTACGTGAGTATCTCTCAATACTTTTTTTTTCACAAAATGTAATGTAGTTGTACAATCAAATGGTCAGTTTTTTTTATTTTTGATAGTGGCTTATGGTGAGACCTCCTGTCAAGTTTTTAATGCTGTCAGTGTCCCCATTGGAGGGACTTTCATTTGTACTGGTGACCATTGTCTCAGAGAAATAGAGGGGAAATCCAAACTTTTAGAGGTGTCATCAGAACAAGAGGTGTGGGGTTAGCTCTCAATAGAGACAACTGTCTAAGGGAAATTCCTCTTAATTTATGAGATTTCCTCTAACTTCCTTTTGCATTTCTAGGACAGAAAGTATGCAGGTGTGGAGGTGAGAGCAGTAGAGGGGTAGGGTTATACTTGTGCAAGTGTGATAGCCTAGATGGAGGAGGGGTGGTGTCAGGGGTGCAAGTATGTTGAGAGCAGGGGATGGGTGGGGTTAGATGCACAGGGGTGGTTGTGAGAGTGGTTGAGGGGTGGGGTTAGGCATGCAGCTGTAGTACTGAGTGCAGGAAGAGTGTTCAGAGCAGCATGTGCTCACACAGCACTGTTTACCGGACATTGCAGCTCTTCTTCCAGCACACTCTTGTTGCTAATGGCAGCCACACTGACACCTTAGCACTGATGTGTATGCTGGGAGGAGGCAGGGGAAGTTGAGCAGAAGGTGGTGCCAGCAGGCTTCTGACAGGTTCCCTGCAGGGGCCCACAATTGCCATTCCTGAGCAGTGGGCAGCAGAGATAGAAACCGGGGGTGGGATCAGAGGTTGAGCTGTCATCAGGTGGCTGTGCTTAGGTGAAGGAGAGCAACAAAGAATGCTGCTGGCGGGAGTATGAAAGGGGGTATTGTAGTGGCTTGTGGAGGCAGTGCAATGGTATCAGGATGTGGCACCCTGCCAGGGCTGAAGTATAAGAATGAGGAATATGGTAGGAATGTGCTAGGGGAAAGGCAGATCATGCAGAAGGAAAGGAGGAAGCAAAAGTTGACACTGGAGGTAGAATTCCCCGGTGTCAAAACAGAGTCCTATATTATTGTTAAAGGAGAACTATGAGGTGAGTGCTTTTCACTCACCTCATAGTTCTAGCCGACCTGTGACAATGAAACTGTCACAGGTCGGCTCAGTAGATCGGGAGGTGAGCGAACACATACCGGCGTTCGCTCACCTCTCGATCCTGTCACAGCTGTCTGCCGTGACAGGGGAGGGGCTGGATTCCCCCCTCCCCGCTACGATCCGCCAGCGTTGACTGGCGGAACGGACGGGGCGGGTACAGCTGGCTTTGCCTCTAGATAGGCAGAGCCAGCTGTCAGTCACGCAGCTGCGCGGATCGAGACATAATTGTCAGGATCCGCTTCAGCTGCGGCGTCTCAGTATACCGCAAGCTACAGCTCGCGGTATACTGAGCCTAAGGTGACGAGAGGACACTAGTTTGTGTCCTCCCGTTACCCTAAGGAGAACTATGGGGAAAAGCCTTAACCCCATAGTTCTCCTTTTAAGAATATGTGCTGTGTGTGTTGCTAAAACCAGACAGGTTTCACCATTTATTTTATAGAAAAATTCATCAAGAACACAGATTAGTCCAATTATAGGCACTAACATGTAGGTATAGCCCTATTAAAGTGAATTTACAGGTTCACTTTGGAGGGAAAAAGTAAAACGCCCTGTCGGTTTATTTTTTGCTGTCTGTGTCCTTTTTTAAATACTTCACTTTACTTCCTGAAACTGTCACAGATCGGCTCAGTAGATCGGGAGGTGAGCGAACACATACCGGAGACTTTAACAGCATAGTTCAGGAGGGCTAAAAATCACACCTGTTGTATTTAGATAATATTAAATAGGAACTTTACCCATACCTTCAAAATAACAACAAACACACCTTTAGAAATGTTTAGTAATGACAATCTACAAACACATCTAGATCAGGGATGTCCAAACTCCGGCCCTCCAGCTGTTGTGAAACTACCAATCCCATGGTGCATCTCCCTCCGGGAGTCATGTGTCTGTGATTGTGAGAATCTTGCAATGGCTCATGGGATTTGTAGTTCCACCACAGCTGGAGGGCCGGAGTTTGGACATCCCTGTTCTAGATAATTGCCACATTTGACTAGGACATGTGATCATGCACAGCTGGGAAATGCCTTTCCCTGAGATCTTATGAGATTACACAATGCTCTGCTGATGTAACCTTCCCAGGATACAACACTTGGGCACATTGTCATCTGTGCCAAAGTGGAAAAAAAAATGTTAGTAAAATAATATGTCTGTCTGTTTAGCCAATGAATCTAAGGTTATTTCATATAAACATGCAGAGATGTGTGCTGATTTGATTTCAAATCAAAGGGGTTAAAGGTCCACTTTAATGTTCACTTCTTATGTAACGTTTTACTTATTTTGTATAATTAAATGTTGTAGGAATGCAAAGAAAGGCGTATGTACAGTTCAGTCCATCCAAGCTGTGAACTTATTTTTACCTACGATGGCGATTATGACATCCAAAAAAGAAAGCAGAGAGCAAAACGCAAGTGTGAAGGTAATCTGCAGTTCTGTATATTTCAGATTTCAAAGTGGATAAATATTTCCTTTTTCCAAAATTAAGTTAAAATGAAAATTCTGTAAAATAAATGGCTCATCCAAAGCTGAGCAGCTGCTTCCTAGGGTTGGCTCCAGGTCATGTTATTCTTTGGAACCATATTTTTGTTTTTGCTGCAGCTTGATTAGACTTCATTATGGCTTCTGATTTCCATACAGGACCAATAACAGAGGTCTCTGCCTGCCAGGAAAGTAACCACTTCTGATGACAGAATGCTGTCTTCTGAATGCTGCTCATAGATGTTTATATATGTCAGGCTACAGCCATAAAGCACAGAAGGAAAGTTAACTCCAGAGGAAAGAACCCACAGGACAAAATCTTTTTGTCCTGTGAAGAATTGCTGTTTGTTTAATGAGTTATGTTGTTAGTTCTTTCTAAACCCGAGGGCTGAATAGAAGAGTGTATCTTCTTTATTTCTAAGTACCTGGTAAAATCTCTGTTGTAATGTGTGCCAGGCAGGATCGAGGTTTGGGTGAGTAAATCTTTTATATTTTACTCCATAGACCAAAATAAGCACTTAACCCTTGCAGTACGTGGTAGCCCCACTGCAAGACTTAAGTTTTATTCTGGCTGGAGTTTTCCTTTAAAATGTGCCTCACATTTGTTTAATTTTAGAAAAACACATTCCATGCCTCTGGCCAGCTTTTCCATTGAATCAATAGTAGGCGGGTTTAATATGTTTCAGCTTGTGTTCCGAAAACCCACTTATTTGTGAAAACTTAACTTAATTTCCCATCATCCTTTCCGGAGCTGTTTCTTTATAGTAGGACATTTCATGCGAACGTCATGTGAAAATCCTTTTGAAGGGTTTTAGTGTAATAGAGTGTGAAAGGAGGTATGTACAGCTTCTCCTTGTGATCGGTCGGTCATTGTGTGCAGGGCAAGATTAGGGAGGAAACGGGTGTGCTAATAGGAAGAGGGGAAGGCACTATGTACCTGAATTACACCTTACGCTGCAGTCTAAAAGAGCACAGTGGACCCAAACAGGGACTACTGCCTACTTAGGGGGAGTGTGGTCACTGCATGGAAGACGTGAGAAAATAATGCTATTTAATGTAAGTAGCTACACTCTTCTTGAATTGTAAGTTGAACAGCCACTAGTATGGTATTTGCCCTAAAACGCTTTATTGCATATATTTTTTCATAACTTGTCTACAGTTCTACTTTAAATGCCAAAAATAGTTTATGTTGGCAGTTCTATATCACCGTAGTGTTTTCCATTAAAGCAAAAAATCTGGTGCAATGGGCTGATATGTCCCAGGCCAAAATATTTGCCATGCTGATCTAGGGCCAGGATTTGTCAAGCCCCAGTAATGGAATAAAATAATTTTCCTTTTATTTGCTTGTATTTTGATCAAGTTTCCACTTAAAATAAGAGAACCAACCTCACAATTTGTATTACTTTCTATATCCATATAGATATACCCACTGCTCCAAATGTAAAAATAAACAGGGCATTCAGTTAAAAGGTGATGGTAGAAATAGGGGAGCTGCTGTTCTTCTGGTGTTTTTAAAAAGGTCCTGATCTTTCTTCACTCCTTATGGTGAAGCAGGTTCAGAGTAATAGCAGCCCCACGAGCTGCACATACTCAGCTACTCATCTTCCCTTCTCTATCCTGTAAGGTGGGGAAAACAACTTATTCCTTCCATGTTCCTTTGGGGAACATGTGACTTTTGGGGAACATGTGACATGGGGGTGGGGGGGGGGAAGTCCTTAGCACTGTGTTAGCTCCAGATCACAACTCGGAACTTACGCAGATCTGAATCAATTATGCAGGACAGGCGTTCAGACTAAATTGGCTGTCAGCTTGTTTCTGACTCAGGGACTCTGCCAAGCAGTGAAGCCAGGATCAGCATGGCACCCCCAAAGCTTGCATATTTAAATATCTAAGAGTCTATGGTAATATCACGGAGAAGATTCAACCCAATGAGTATCTTTTTGCCATAGAGATCAACCTGCAGAACTCAATGGGTTCTCAGATATCCTAATCATCCCCAAAAGTGTATGATCAGCTAATGAAGCAAGGAAAGGGCAATATAACTGTCGGGTCAGTTCAGTGGCAATTGTTGCTTAGTGAGGTTATTCCTTTTTGTGCATTATTTAATGTGCTTCTCCTGTAGCTCAAAAATAACTTCTTCTTAGGTGGCACATAATTGGGTTACATAAGCTATGTGGCTTCTCACAGAGAAGCCAGTGACCGGTATACATAGGTAGTGATGGAAACCACTTAAGGGAAGCATTCATCATAATTGACCTACTTTTTTCGGTCTTGATTAGTTTTAAACACAGGCGTAATATGTCTTGTAGCACTATGCCCTTATTGCATTAAATGCAGTTTTTATATTCTCCCCTTAGAGCTTCAAGAAACTGGACTCCTGCCATCACAGATTATTGAACCCAAGAGAGTTGAGAGTGAGAGAATGCGGCTTTCGAAAAAAAATAAAAAAAAGAGGAGAAAGGAATCCAAATGTGAAAAGAACAAAGTGAACTGGCATTTGAAAGCTATGGATAAAAGTAGAAAGATAAAAAACAAACTTGTCAAGCAAGAAGCAGACGATTTTCCTAGAGGGAAGCCTGAGGAGAACCCCAGTAAGGCTGCAAAAAAACAGAAGAAGAAAAAATCGCAACATTTGTTATTCAAATATGGGAAGGACACAAACGATTTTGGTGGGCAGCCAATTAAACGCAAGAACAGAAAGGGCAAGAAAGGAAACGGCATCATTGCTGACTTACTTACAATTAAACAAAAGAAAAAGAAATCAAAAAAAGATAACTAGATGCAGAATCTTAGAAACGTTGTCATTGTACTGCAAATAAATTCTAATTTATAATACGGAATTTGGATGCCAAAAGATGGCAATGTAAAGGTACAGTGACTCCCTCCATTCCTTAGTCAGTTATTAATGGTTGTTTTTCAAGTGAGCAAATTATTTTCATACTCAGGAAAAAAGTAATTGGCGTGTCAAATACCACTCTGTTATGACCAGAAGATGGAGTGATCTCTGTATTTTTGTAAGACTTCAGAATAAAAAAAATAATACATCGCTTTATTTGGAGTCTGATTGTGAAGGGTGAATTCTGGTTGGTTGTAATGGCGTGTTGCACTTTGAATATTGCCACTTTCTCTCTCATAGCCAGCTACCATACATTTAAGACTATCTTATGTTATTGCTGGGGGAGGCAGTTGTATAATCCTGTTGTGGTGGCATTAAAGTGACAATAAACTCAAGATAAAAAAAACTATTCAAGTATACATTGTTATCTAAAAAAAATTACTCTATGGCTCTCAGCTTCTTCCAAATCTCCAGATGAGTGTTCTCTTCTTGCAGTGATCTGACCTTCTGTTAGAAGGTGTCTACCTTTTGTTCTACATGGTCCCATTATATTTGGGAATGTAGCCACCCTGTCTTTGCACGCTCCTGAGATGAACAAACATGTAAAAAATACATATCAGTGCCAATATATAGGTGATGTGTTTGGATAATTGTTTGAGGAGAGTCATATGGTTTAGGGCCACTTTAAACATACTTGTTTAGCCTTTATTATATTTTCTCCAAAAAGGATTTTGACACACACACACACACACACACACACACACACACACACACACACACACACACACACACTGGGTGGGAACACAGGTTCTGATGACTATGTACATGCAGACGTAGAAATTGTCATACAACCAGATTTTGTACATTTCCCTTTAATATCTCGATCAATAACACCCAGCCAGGGGAGCTATTTAATCTCTGCATACAGAAAGATTAATAGTAAATTACCTGGTTTGTCTGGAGATACCTGATGTCTTGGAGATAGCATAACCATTTCAACTCTCTTTTGGTGACAATTTAGCAAAAATTATTTTATTTTCTACACAATCTTTACTCAAAAAGATGCACTTTTTATGCTTTGATTATTGTTAGGTTTTTTTTTATTGTTTAGTGTAGGTAAAAAGTATACATTTTAATTTATAATGTATCCTCTTTCTAATAATGATACTAAAATGACTTATGGTACAAAGCATTATGAATATATAAAAAATATAATAAAGTTATTTTATTAGGGTAACGAAAAACATTAAATAACGAAATAAAACAAAAAGTTTAAAATATTAATTGTTTAAACTTTTTGAGAAAAAAAAATTTGAAATATGATGGCTAAGGAGGAGTTAAATAGGGTAGACTAGAGTTACCTAAGGGTTAATCAGTGTTAGGTTAATAGTAACAAATTTTATTATAAAACGTTTTGTGTGCGTGTGTGTATATATATCTATATATCTATATAGATATATAGATATAGGAAGGTTGCTTTAACTCACATCATGCAGATCAAACATCATTAATTTGATCTGCAGATAAATGAAACAGTAATGTTACTTTGTTTCTATGTATACCTGAAGACATTTGTCGGTAAAAGTGGCAAGGGAGTGGCAGCAAGGGAAGAGAACAACAGAGCATGCTATGTATGTCCTGTACATTTTTGTGGAGTTTTATGGACGTACATGGCTTACCAAGAGTGGTTAAAGCTGGCTTGAGACATCAGAGGCTTTTTTTTTTTTTTTTTAAGGTATAACTGTACAGATACAGAATATTAACATAACAAAACATACTGTATATCATCAGGAGAAATCACTGGAAACAGTCACTGTCAATATGGATGGATTACAGATCAACAGAAGCAGTCAGAGAGGATAGAGATTCTCAAGAACAATCAGTTCATAAATAGGGGAATTACTTTAGAATGGGGACTGCTGCCATAAAAATCTGGGACAGGATATCTCAAAATCCTAACGTTATAAATAAGGTGAAGCAGGAGGAAAGGTACGTTGGATGAGTGTGCAATGTTGCCACAAGAAGGAATACTGTTTACTGAAGCGGCAGCATTTGGGAACACTTGTAGTTTTCACTTCACACAAAATTGTTCTAAAAAGCCATAATCATGCATACATTGCCCGAGTGAGCATGGCTCATGTGAGTGAATGGATATTTGCTAGCACAATCTATTTCACCATTTGCTGAAGATTGAAAGTATGGAGAAGGATTGACATAAATTATATGAATGGAGATACTCATGCATGGAATATGTTGTGAGCTTTTTCCTGTTCCATACAATTTTAAATACATTGAAGACGGTTTGCTGAATAAGTACATCAAAAGACGATACCCAGTAAGCCCCCCAGCAAGGACATGCATATTTGTGCCGTGCTATGTAGCTGGATGGTTGTCTGCCTTAATGTTATATGTCTTGGCATGAGTTTTCATACATGTTAAGGAATTGTGTCTTTGGATTCTCTCTTAGGCCTTGATCACACCAAATGCAGAGCAGATCGGCATGTGTTTCTGCACACGCAGTGCAGTGGGTTGTGCCGCGTTTTTTGATGCATTCCGGGCTCTTTTTCGTTTCAAATGGGCTTTCAGTGCGTTCCAGGCGTTTGCATGCGTTCCAGAGCAGGTAAAATAGGGCTTGCTGCAGTTTTTTTTACCTGCTCTGGAACTGAACGCTGCAATGTGAACTGGAGCTAAAAATACCATTAGAATACATTGGACGCAGTTTTGCTTCTGTCTGTAACTGCTCTGCTCCTGGAACGCGCTTGGTGTGAACAAGGCCTAATAAATGATAAGCATATGTAAAATGACAAGTATATGATATTTTCACTTGGGATAACGAAAGAAGATAACTATTTCATGGACGCATGTGTTCACGTTTGCCGCTCCCAAATGCTATCAAACTTGGATGGAAATAATAACTTCCTGAAGAGAGTATCACTCAATGAGTTGAATCAAGTCATAATCTAATCATGTTCATACATCTAATTGAATAATTTGCATCAAAATACACTTTCTCCTTATCTAACATAGCCATTCTGGGATGGATAACGATATTATATGAGCATGTGTGATCAAGTTTGAAATTAAGCAATTAAAGGTATATATCTGAAGGAGTCCATTTGGGTCATGTAAAAGCAATTTTGAACTTTGGTTCCTAAATTTGAGGAAACGGATTACCATTTATTCTTGACTGGATCAGGAGGAAAAAAGTTTGTCATGGTGTGAAAATCCAGTATGAAAAATGTAGTGTGGAAAAAGTTTCATTGATTCATGTACACTGGGCCA